TTTAAGTTCATGGAAACCCGACCATATCGGCCAGCTGGAAGCGGCTGGCTCACACATCTCAGTGGTGATGGGAGCTCTGCCTAAAACAGCCTTACACAGGAGGATCCTGGTGATGCCCCCTGTACCTCCCGTACGTTGCCTCAGCAAGACGGAATACGCCGGTGGCCAGGAAGCCCCTCGGGGCGACCAGGCACTGTAGCCCAATCCGGGTGCATCGCAGCGTGGCCCCGGGGGCCTGATGTTCACGAAGGCTCCCGCAAAAACCCGTGTTTGGCCGCATGCTCCAGGAGGTATGAAGCCGGAGCCCGGCTTTTATCCCCCCGCCTGGACATATGTCGACGAGTGAGCGCCTTTTTTTTTACTGCAAGTAGAGCACCTGGCTTCTGAGCCCAGCAACGGCACCTCACCGAGGGTGTCTAGCAAGGGACAGACATACAGGTCCCGGGAAACACTGCAATGGAACTATAGTCAAGTCACCTTTATTTATATAGCGCTTTTAACAATACAGATTGTGACAAAGCAACTGAACAGTATTAATTAGGAAAATAGTGTCAATAATGCAAAATGACAATAGTAAACACTCATTTTTCAGTTAAAGACAGTTCATCATTGAATTCAGTGATGTCAACATCCAGCTCAGTTCAGTTTAAATAATATCTTTGCAATCATGTCAACGATATCGCTGGAAATGAAGTGTCCCCAACTAAGCAAGCCAGAGGTGACAGCGGCAAGGAACCAAAACTCCATCGGTGACCGAATGGAGAAAAAACCTTGGGAGAAACCAGGCTCAGTCGGGGGGCCAGTTCTCCTCTGACCAGACGAACCAGCAGTACGGAAAAATCAATATAAGACGTAATAAAACAGACGATGAATAATATTAACAGCAATTATTATATGATGCAATCAAACTTATAGCAAAATGTGGTAGTTCTGTATGTTGTTTCAGGGTTGGCATCATCTGAGGTCCTCTGAGGGGTTGCATCATCTCTTCTCAGGTGTTCTGGATCCAGACTGAAGCTTGTGTAAATCCTAGTTACCACGGGATGTTCATCCCGTGGCAAAAGACAGAGAAACAAATACAAACATAATTAGCGTAGCTGCTGTTCCAACCAAGCAAAAATGATTTGTTTAACCCAAACTAACGAATAATAATGTGCATTTGATTAGATATAACTGCAGTAAAAGATTATGACTGCAGTAAAAGATTATGAGATGCATTATTTGAATGCTTGGCCAAAGAGATGTGTCTTTAATCTAGATTTAAACAGAGAGAGAGTGTCTGAACCCCGAACGGTATCAGGAAGGCTATTCCAGAGTTTGGGAGCCAAATGCGAAAAAGCTCTACCTCCTTTAGTGGACTTTGATATCCTAGGTACTACCAAAAGTCCAGAATTTTGCGACCTTAGGGAGCGTGATGGATTGTAGCGTGGTAGAAGACTAGTTAGGTACGCAGGAGCTAACCCATTAAGGGGTTAGAACGTATGAGAAATACTCAGTCGGCTGTTGCCATTGGTCTGCATCTGTCTGTGTGGTGTGAATTGGCCTTTAAATGCAACAACTCTGTTTTTGTTTCTTTAATTAAGGATTGTCCAGCAGTTCCTGTCTGGTCTGTTTTCCAATTCTGACAATGCAGGTTCCCAAACCTCCTCATGGTAAGTTTTGTGGTTTACCATGATTCTGTGAAGTATAATATGTTTCTGAGATAACATTCAATCAGTCAAACAGATTTTAAGTTTGGCTGGGCTTAAACAATATTTGTATCAACCCATAACCTCTGCTGTTTGACAGGAATGTTGTTCCTGGACCAACAAAACAAAAGATATTCAGTGCGCCCTTTTGTCCTACAAATTCACTTATTTTTATATGTCGAGACATTATCTACAGAGCCATCCAATGATTTATCAATAACCTATTCCTCAGGTCTAGCATGCTGCACTCTAACCCTGGAGATTATGCTTGGGGACAAGGAGGTTTAGATGTGGTCATCACACAGGTGAGTCACACTGTCATCTGATGATATAACTCATGTCCTCAGCCTTTTTCCAGTTTGCCTCTTGGCACTTATATTTGTCCCCGGGCTGGAGTCAAGCACATTATAAATTTTTCTTGTGAAAATTAAAGCATTAGAAATATCCTGCTCATCAGCTGTTGCAGATTTTGTTTTGTTTTTCCAGTTGCTTGGTCAGTCTGAAAATACCGGCCCCCCTCCTGCCGGGAAGGAGATGATCTCATCTCTCCCCATCGTTAGCATCTCCTCAGAACAGGCTGGTAAATTCCCATAATCCTCTGAGTCACCATGTACACTTTATTTTAAGTGCTATTAAGCAAAACAGGGCTGTTCACATATATCTGGTCACCTCCAGAAAGCATTTGTTTTTTTTTGCTTTTCCTGACAAACTATTGTATTGAGTATGATCAATTAAAGAGGGTGAACTGGAAAGTGTTAAAACATGATGAATATGTATGATTCTGACAGCAGTGCATTGTGTATATAAGCCATATTTATATCAAATATTTCAAGAGACTCACATTCTTCCCCTCATGTTATTTATTGCTGAGCTGCAAATCTGTTTGTTCAATCAGTTGCAAGTTTTTTAAAGCAATAGTCACCCAAAAACAAAATATATTTACTCATCTAATATTGTTCCAAACCTGTATGGCTTTCTATTGTTTTGTGGAACATAAATGAAGAATGAAAGAATGTTGGTAACCAAACAGTTTCAGTTTCCAATGACTTCCATTATACGAAAATACAATAGAAGTCAATGGGAGCCAAAATATCTTCTTTTGTGTTCAGCAGAAGAAAGAAAGTCTTTTGAGTTTGCAACGACATGAGATTGAGTAAATTATGACAGAATTTTCATTTTTGGATGAGCTATCCCTTTGATTTTCAACTTTCCATTTCACAGTAGATTGCACTTGACAGTCTCTCTCTCTCTCTCTCCATGTTTCTTGTGCATATATTTTGCTACGTCTCTCTAACAGCATGCCGGCTGGAATGCCCTGTGTGTAGAGAGGAGTACTCTGAAGGGGAATCTGTCCGACAGCTGCCCTGTCTGCACTACTTTCACAGCAACTGTATCGTGCCCTGGCTACAACTGGTATGAGTCTCATAAAATGGCCTTAGTGCTGGATCATTTATCATCAGACCCATGTTTATTAACAAAAATAAAACCCTCAGGAATTTCCAATGGGTTTTTAAAATGTCAGTTTTCGATTTATGAGCACACTAAACTTTGTGGTTAACATTACTTAAACAGACTTCTCTCTACAACATTACACACAGTCATACCACAAACATGAAATTTTGAGGTGGCAGGTTTGAAATGCGCTCAGATGACATGATATTTGAAAATGATATGTCATGTACAACTAAATTATGTGCTAAAATAACCTACACTAGCATTCAGAAGTATGGGGTTGGTAAGATTTTTTTATGGTTTTGAAAGAAGTCTCTTATTTTCACCAAGGCTGCATTTATTTGATCAAAAATACAGTAAAAACGGGACTACTGTGAAATATTACAATTTAAAAGAACTGTTTTCTGTTTAAATGTTTTCAAATGTAATTCATTCCTGTGATAGCAAAGCTGAATTTTCAGCATCATTACTCCAGTCTTCAGAGTCACATGATCCTTCGGAAGTCATTCTAATATACTGATTTGGTGCTCAAGAAACATTTCTTATGAATATTAATGTTGAAAACAGTTGTGCTGCTTAATATTTTCGTTTTTTAGATTCTGTGTTGAATAGAAAGTTCAAAAGAACAGCTTTTATTTAAAATGTCATTTTTTTTTGGTAACATTATAAATGATTTTACCACCATTTCTGATCAATTTAACGTGTCCTTGCTAAATAAGTGTGAATTTTTTACAATTACAATTCTTGACAATTACTGTTCTGTCCTCATTTTGTGCTGTTTTTTGTTAATAGCACGACACCTGCCCTGTCTGCCGGAAAAGTCTGGATGGTGAAGACCGGGGTTTCCAGCCACAGACCGGACCTCCAGGGGCAATTCCATCACCAATGAATGTAGAGGAACGTAGCACCTCTGAGACTCTTTAGCCTCTTTTTAATACCTCACAATGAAGTGAGCGCACAGTTCACTTTCCCTTACCTGTCAACAGGTGACATCTGCTCTGCACATGCATTCACTCTTTTGAAGGCATCATAGAAAGGCAAAGATTTAGATATCTGCTCAAGTTTTGCACTGTAAAACTTTTCATCAGTTGTTCTTTACATGTTTTGGGTTGATAGTTTGACATTGCTATGTGTTGCTATTTTGAAGATTTGTGGGTTTTTGTGGATGGCTAGAAAAAGAAACGTATTTATTGTATTCACAAGTTTTGAAGATGTTTTAGAACTATCCTTGATGATCCTCTTGGTGCTCTTGTCTTAATTCTCAGGGTTCCTCGATTGCTCCATATTGTGATATTGAGACACAGTCCCACTTATAAGAGTTCACTTCACAATATGGAACATTTTGAGTGTCATTTGGAATTTTATACCATACTATCACACAGGTAAAATGTTTACAAGAGAGAGAGAGAAAAAAAAACTATGTTACAATAAGTAACTAGAAAAACTTAACTTTACATATCAGCCAACCTGCTACATATTGCACTCTCAAATAAATAAAAGACTATTTTTGTTTTTTGGCATCAGTGTATGAACTATATGGGGTTTTTCAACTTTTGATGCTGATATCTAGAATGCAGGGTGGTTGATGGCAATATAAAGCTGATATAACTAATTCAACCTAATGATGAAAATGAGACAAAACTGTGTGATCTAGATAAACATTTAATTTACATAAAATTTAATAATCTCAAAATTGCCAAATATTTTATTTAAGCTTCATGTGGGCTTGAAGAAAATGCATTAATTAACCAATAATTAATTTCTTTTTTTTTTTTGAAAGAAATTAATACTTTTATTCAGCAAGGATGCATTAAATAGATCAAAAGTGACAGTAAAGAAATTTGTAATATTACAAAAGATTTCTATTACAAATAAATGCTGTTCTTTTTAACTTATGTCTATTCATTAACAATTTTTTTTTTAAATTTCTATCCATAAGAAATGTTTCTTGAGCACAAAATCAGAATATTAGAATGATTTCCTAAGGATCATGTGACACCGAAGAGTAATTATGCTGAAAATTCAGCTTTGCCATCACACGAATAAATTACAAAAAAATTCTGTATTTTTCAGCATACATTGTACAAGTTATAATGTAAAGTTTGCATATTGTGAGAGGCAGATTTGCATTACAAACTGATAACAAGTCACATATTGTTTCCAATGACATCTGTCATTATATTAGGCTATTTTGTATGATAAGGAAGCTGATTAATGCCCAGTTTCCTAATTAATTTCTGTCATTAATGTGTGACACTTCACCATCCCATGGGTTAGTAAGATTATTTATCATCTCATTTGCATCGTAAAAACCCAAAAAATTAGTTATGAAACAGCTTCACTATGTAAACCATGAAGTTTGATTTCCATCTGTTTCACCCAGGTAGTTTCTGCATTACTTTAAGTAAATGAGTCACGTGACTATTAATATTTTTTTATGAAGCAATACCCCCACAATGATAATACCTTGTTATATTAATGCCCGTTCTCACCAAGGACGACAACTAACTATAATTATGTAGTTTTAATAATAGTCTCTAATTCTATGAGAATAGAGATGTCCACACCAAACGTTGGAATCCCTTCCAGAACGATTTATTTTTCCAAGCTAAAGACAATCAGAATAGCTACATCCAACTTTAAAGAGTATTTATAGCAGCAGATGACATAGGCCAGGGGTGCCCAAACTCGGTCCTGGAGGGCCGGTGTCCTGCAGAGTTTAGCTCCAGCTTGCCTCAACACACCTGCCTGGAAGTTTCTAGTATGCTTAGTAAGACCTTGATTAGCCGCTTCAGGTGTGTTTGATTAGGGTTGGAGCTAAACTCTGCAGGACACCGGCCCTCCAGGACCGAGTTTGGGCACCCCTGACATAGGCTAACTGCAACTCGCGCTTATAATAATAAACAGAACGTTTGTTAGTGCGTACGCTACTTAGTTAACGTTCTAAGTGTGAACGGTCCTTTATACTCGTGGTGTGTGAACTTCCCTATTCTTATAGAATGATATTAAAAATTTGTAGTTATCGTCGTTGATGTGAACGGCCTTAAAGTGAACGAGAACGGTTCGTTCACTTGAAAGATTGGTTGCTACTCTCCTATTATTAGATTTTGCTCAGTGCTCACTCATAAAGTTTCACAACCCGCCTCACGGCTACGATTCCCACTTGGAGTCTCGATATTTCACTGTGGGTAAACACTGCCGAGCGTACGACAGCACGACCCCCCTTTACAGGAGGGCTACATTTTCATCTGAGAAAAACAAATATATCCCGCATTTTTTCCCAGAGTTGTTTAGCTGAATTTGTATGCCCCCACCTTTGAGCAGGGAGAAAGTATCGAACCTATGACGTGTAAAATGTGCCAACTCTAGGTTTACAAGGAGGAGGAGAAAGAGCAGTCTACCCTTCAGTCACCGTCAGTCCGTGTAGATTTCTGAATGGGATTAGCTGTTTCCATCCAAAGTTGCGAATTTTACTTATGCGCAAAATTGGAATATTGCATAACATTTGCATGTTAAGCACCGTTTCCATCCAAACAAGTCAAAGAGAATCACTCTTCACTCAAAATCAAAGTCTCTTCCTGATAAACTGGCACTAAATATCACCAAGAAAAGTAGGATAAGCCTCTGAAAATAATAATTTTCCTATACAGTATGTGATCCTGGACCACAAAACCAGTCATAAGGGTCAATTTTTTTAAATTGAGCTTTATACATCATCTGAAAGCTGAATAAATAAGCTTTACATTGGTTTGTTAGGATAGGACAATATTTGGCCGAGATACAACTATTTGAAAATCTAGAATCTGAGGGAGCAAAAAAATCTAAATACTGAGGAAATCGCCTTTAAAATTGTCCAAATGAAGCTCTTAGCAATGCATATTACTAATTAAAAAAAAAAAGTCTGGCCAAAATCTCATAGCAGAGATGGTCTTATTAATATTTACCATTGAAGAAAGCGTTATGGTCAACTTGGATCCCGTGAGCCTTGATAACCCATCACATAACGTGGATAAGCGCGTGGATAAGTGTCTGGATAACATGCGTCTGAATAACGTAATAACTGAATAGTGTTTCGTTGTGAAAGCGAAACTACTTTGTTTGGCCTTCTAAAAGAGGACAATATCTGCTTCGTCATGCCTGCCCTAGAGCTGATCCATGCTGGTTGCTGAGGAAATACAACAACTTTGCGCCGTGGATCACCGGATCGGCTTTCACCGTGGACGAAGCGGAGTCCAGCACGGGGTCGTCACATGTGGTTGCCGCAAGCCCTCCGGACGCTCCTAGCCCGCCGCTTCTGCTCACTCTAGCCCGCCGCCTCTGCTCACTCTAGCCCTCCGGCCGCCGCTCACTCTAGGCCGCCTCCACTCACTCTAGTCCGTCATGTGTGACGCTGTGTTTCGTTGTGAAAGCGAAACTACTTTGTTTGGCCTACCAAAAATGAACACGACTAGAAATCAGTGGTTAAGTTGTATTTACAACACTGTTCCAGAACACTTCAACCCAAATATTCAGATGTGTGCAGCGCATTTTATGGATTAGGAAATATATGATGCTAAATGTTACAACATACTGTTTTTTTCTTTCTTTTTTTACTCAAAACAAAACAAAAATACAGTAATTTATAGCACTTAATACATTTCACAAAATCACACATAGATCTGGCAAAAGTTACTGCAGACGACACGGCGCAGGGGTCACGTATCGCGACGAAAGTGTCGCACTTCTTATCTCACATCATCGGTCACAGCTTCTGTTCACGGCAAGGTAAGGACGATCGACACAATTGGCTGCTTCGTTAGCAAAGTAGATTCTTTTTTTTCAGAAATATAATTCAATACAAAAGAAACAAATAATACAGAAAAAAAACAATTTACTTAAAAACCGTTCCATAATACGAGATGCCTTCAGAGCTTTTTTATTAGAGGAGACTTTTTGAAGTGATGACAATAATAAATGTAGATCAGAAGCAAATATTTTGCAGCTGGTTTTAAATTTAAGGTATCTGGTTTTGTGGATGTGGTATCTACCCATCATACAAATAAAGTTTAAGACATCATCTAACTCCTTATTGTCAGAAATATCAGAATGGAAAACAACCTTACTAATGGAAATACTACAGAGCTGGTGAAACACAAGAAATAGGGAAGCTGATATTCGAAGCCAGAATTGTTTAGAATAATAATATTCTAATAAAGAAATAGAATAAATGTGAAATAGATTATTCTTCCTCTTGGCAAAAAGAGCAGAGTGGAGAAATATTATGGTTAAATTGACTCAGATACCTAATGTAATGATGATTTTAAAATGAATTTCATGCACAAATCACTAGGCATGTAACGATTCACTCAACTCACGATTCGATTCAATTTTGATTTCACGATTTGATTTTTTCATGATTTTTTTTAACAAAATTAGATTTAAGACATTATACAGTAAATGAGAAGGTGTCGTTTCTTTGTAAAATTGAAATATAACAAAACTAAATTAAAATTTTAAAACAAACCCCAAATCAAACAAGTTACACAAATAAAATACATTCTCTTAATATGAACAAACTAAGGCTTTGTCTGTGCTCTTTCCATTTAAATTAGAGGCAACCACTGGATTTTAATCATGATCCAAACAAAGATGCAGCATACATGCAGCATTAGTAGTTTTTAATCTAACTTAGACTGTATAATTTTGAAATTTGAAGCAAAAACAGAATGTTCTAACTTCAGTTTTGTGAAACTATACTACATAAAACATATCTGAATGAAACAGCAGATGAGCTGAATGAGACGCAGATTCACTCTCTTGACAGCAGATGGCGCTTATGAACAGCAATGATACAGTGTTTCCTAGGTTACCACTGTAAACAAAGCAGAGCTGCGCTTATGAACACTACTTTAATATGCATTGTTCAGAGGCAAGATTAAAAGAAAATACCACATAAACATTTCTAAAGATAGTCAGTTCCCCTCAGCGATACATTCATATAAACTCCTAATCTAATTGTATCGCGATTTGTTTGGCATCTCGAACGATTTGAATCGTTACATATTTCGATTTTCGACCGGTGTACCAACGAAACATGCTACCTATCAGATTGTGCTACCAAAAATATATTTGCATTGTTTTAAGGGTACGTTTAGGGTAAGGGTAGGTATGGACATTAAAAAAAGTCTCAAACCACGTGAATAAGATGCTGGTAGCATAATCTGATAGGTAGCATTTTTTGCTATCGATTTGTGCTTCCTATCATTTTAATGGGAGGTAGCACAATCTAGGGCAGGGTTCCTCAAATCTTGCCCTGGAGGTCCAATGCGCTGCAGAGTTTAGCTCCAACCCTGATCAAACTCAGCTACCTGTGATTTTCTAATGATCTTGAAGACGCTGATTAGCTTGCCCAAATCGTCAGAACACCAGCTCTCGGTTAATCGTTACATCTCTACAAATCACACCTCACACAGAGCCAGCACTATACTCAACAACGTGAGTGTCACGAGATGTACCCTCCTCTCACGTAAAAGAACACGAATGTCTCCTTCGGTATGTTATCCGTGGCACTTTCCACACTTCATACTATCCACACTTCACACCCTCCCTTCTACCCGTCCCCCCTCCTTTCCTCTACTCTCCTCCCTCCCGCTCTGACTGTGAGAATGCCCGTGCTGTACTGACAGAAACGATACGGGCTTAGCAGACATGGAGGCCCGATTAACTAGAGAGGCCCATTCCGACGCGTCTGAGCTCGACTAACGCGGACCCGGAGAGGGATTCGGGCGACACATCGGATTATCACGGGTAACGAGCACAGCACAGAAGACGAGGGAGAGGGCGAAGAATTTGAGGGAGAGATCCATTTCGGGTCCTCTGTTGATTCAACGCAGCAGCCGCCATTTTGTTGTCAGTGTTTTTAATAACCCGTGCAGGGCTCATCCCGAAGAGCGATAGATTTTTGTATTCCGCTTCTTTTGGTCCTTTCGAGGATGTTTTTACGCTATTGTTGGATTTTTATTGCCCGGGCGAGAAGGGAACACTTAAATAATGTGCGTCCCCACCAACAGCGGCTGCTTCGTTACATTAACGTTACTAACGTTAGTCGTGTGAACGCATCGCGGGGTTAGCTAACGTTAGCCATTCCAGCAAATGTGCCTGACAGGACAGATCATTAGAGTGCGGGTTTAGTGGTGCGATCTACCTGCCGTGAATTCACTCATTTGGGGGGGTAGTAAACAACACAGAGACGTGAATTGAATGACCGTTGACATTGTAATTTATACGCGGGGTTATAGCCGCGATGTTGGGCAAAGCCAACTTAACGTTACCTTGCTCACAGACATCTTTCAAAATTTCAGCAAGGTATTTTGACATCCAGTTGTAGCAACAGTCTCAGTCCAATAACTTGCTATTATTGTTTCATATAGTGTAGTTTTTGGCACACTGTTCTAATTTAAGATTAAGCTCAAGATATGCTCTTTGCTAACGAGCTATGCTAGCTATATTAGGATCATAAACCGTGACTAGTGCGCCTCACGTACATAAATATCGTTACACCTCATTTTTTGCGAAATGACTGGATATACACACTAGACGAATATTTTGTTATGCCATGTATTGGTTGGAATGTTCTTCCTTGAAATCTGACCGTTTCCCCCCCTTTTGCTTTTTTGGGCACATCAGCGATTTCAAGATAAATATCCGGGCGACCATGCTGTTGCGTAGGAAGGGAGGATTTTGATCGCAAGTTATGTGAACGCCGTTCTGGACCGCTATTAAGGTGAGCAACTTGTTAGTTAATTCTGCATTTAGACTGAAAATGTGCTTTAGTGCTTTAAACGAGCTGGTTGGTTTACTAGGACATCTGTCAAAACAACAGAAAATGCAGTGTTTTGATGCTCGAAATGTTCGCGAAGCGCAAAAGCTTTGTTTGTTGTCGCTAGTACGTAATGCTATTTAGGAAATGTTGAGGTATTCATTCACAAGCCGTTTTGGCCACTGAATTGTAGGTGTTCGTTTCATAGAAAATAACCTTCAGTAGTACCTGCGAGTTGATCATCCTCAGTTAACCTCGCTCACAATAGGGTTCGTTGCACGTGCAAATTGCGCGCGCCTTTGCTTGGTTATATTTCGTCCCATTGGAGCAGATTTCTTGAGTAGTGTAGAAAGTGGTGTCTGGAGCCTTTGAGCCACCTTTGACCTCTGACACCGCTGTCAAGGAAACCAGAACTAAGCTCCCCGCTGGCTGAGTGCTGTTTGAGTGGATAGGCGTGATTTCAGGCATTTAGTTAGTGGTCGGAAAAGATTTAGACAAGACGCATTGTGTTTGGAATATGAGTGCAGATTAATAGCAGATCTCAATGCTTTTAGCCTGTGTTTGACGGTTTAGTTTCGTTTTGTGATTCTTTCTGATGGCATCTGATGCGAAGTTGCGAGCTGTATGTTACAGTAGATAAATGAATCGTTGGGTGGCTTACAGTGGCACCAAAATATTTGGGCACTTAGGCTAATATATGAAAGGCATTTTTAAGATGAGAAAGTAAACTAAGTTGCATTTATTTTTTGTGACTGAGAGTAAGCTTAATATTTAAATGTATTGTTCAAAATAAAGACAAAAATTATGTAGACACTTTCTGGTTGTCAAACGTTAGTGTAGGGCTGGACAATAATTCAATATCAATATGTATCGCAATATAATTTTTTTCAATAACGGTGATATGATTTTTAAACACATTTCCGATATTTCGATATACATTACCAGTGTTTCCCATACATTGATTTATTTGTGGCGTTTGATTTCGTTGAATAAACACGAGCAATTCAGGTTTCAAAATCAAAAAGCAGCACAGGTGTTTTATATGAATGAATCTCTGAAGGGAACCGACTGTCTTCAGAAAAGTTTAGATTAGGGCTGCACGATATATCGATATCGCGATGTGCGCATCAGCATTAGTCACATCGCAGGATGTGCGATGTTTAGTATAGGCTAAACATCGTTATATTTATACTGATTGTTTTCTTTGCTCACACACAGACACGGTGTCTACACCGGACGCGACAGCTGAACAGAGATACCCAAAGTTAAAGTAGTGAGTGTACAGCTTGTATAACAGTGTAAATTTGCTGTCCCCTCAAAATAACTCAACACACCTGCTCCCCATTCACATGGGAGACCTTGTAACACTAATGAGTCACATGACACCAGGGAGAGAAAATTGCTAATTATGCCCAATTTGGACATTTTCACTTAGGGGTGTACTCACTTTTGTGGCCAGCGGTTTAGACATTAATGGCTGTGTGTTGAGTTATTTTGAGGGGACAGCAAATTTACACTGTTATACAAGCTGTACACTCACTACTTTACATTGTAGCAAAGTGTCATTTCTTCAGTGTTGTCACATGAAAATATATAATAAAAAAATTACAAAAATGTGAGGGGTGTACTCACTTCTGTGAGATACTGTATATCGCAGAAAAATAAAATATCGCAATGTGAGTTTTTTTCTCTTCTGCTCACCAATCCTGCATTTATTTGATCCAAAGTACAGCAAAAACAGTAACATTTTGTATTTTTTTTACTATTTAAAATAACTGCTTTCTATTCGAAATTATAGAAATTTTATTTAGCACTGCAGTTTTATTGTTTATAATACTTTTATTTAGCAATGATGATTTAAATTGATCAAAAATATTATAATGTTACAAAAGATTTCTATTTCAGATAAATGCTGTTCTTCTGAACTTTCTATTCATCAAAGAAACCTGAAAAATTCTACTCCTTTGTTTTCAACATAATACATGTTTTTGAGCAGCAACTCAGCATATTAGAATGATTTCTGAAGCAGTGTTAATTTCGTTGACGAATAATTTTCGTCATAATTTTCGTCAACGCCATTTTTTTTCGCCGACGATAACGAACTCTAAACTCTTTTTGAATGACAAAAACTATGACGTAAACCTGTTGACATTTTCGTCAACGAATAAAAACGAGACGAAAATGTTAGGGAGGGACGATTTGGGAAGAGATTCATTCAGAACGAAACTGCTGCGTGGTTCGGAGGTTAGATGCGTACATATGAACCGGCGGGACATAAGCTAACATACACTTGCTGCACGTCACATAAAACGTTAAAAAATGCGACGCAAGAGAGAACTCAGTTCGGTCTGGTTTTCTGAGCGCAGACACTGAAGCATACACACGGAAAGCGCATCTCACACCCTGCTCTTGACTGAAAAACTTTAGTAGCCCTAAATATTAATCTAAATTTATTTATAGAAATATGTCTGCTTGAAAGAATGAAGAATGTTAAACAAGTTGCTATAAAGAATGCATAATTAGCCTATATAATCATTGATATTTCATTAAAAAGAATACCGTGTTCTTGTTCTTTGTGAGAAGTGGTTTTATTTAATTTGAACATAAAGGCATTTTGTGTGTCACCGCAGTTAAATCGGTGTCTATCATGATAAAACCTTAATATCAAACCTATATAATGAGTTTGAAAATTTTAGAGAAATGCTTAATAAATGCACTGTAACTAAACCCATTAGATTTTAGCTGACTAAATTTACTGTAGATTTAGTCGACTAAAACTAAAAACAATTCAGATGACTAAAATATGACTAAAACTAAATGGCATTTTAGTCAAAAGACTATGACTAAAACTAAATCAAAATTTGCTGTCAAAATTAACACTGTCTGAAGGATCATGTGACTGGGGCAATGATGCTAAAAATTCAGCTTTGAAATCACAGGAATAAATCACATTTTAAAATATTTTCAAATAGAAAACAGTTATTTTAAATAGTAAAAATATTTCAAAATGTTACTGTTTTTGCTGTATTTTGGATCAAAAAAATGCAGGCTTGGTGAGCAGAAGAGACTTCTTTAAAAAACTTTAAAAATCTTACTGTTCAAAAACTTTTGCCTATAATTTGATATTAGGTAAACATTCATTTATTTGTGCTGTTTTTTTTTTCTCTTAAATATTATATAGTTTTATAGGAGTTTTCATAGACTTGGAAAATTCATTTTTCAGAAGTTTGTTGGTACAGACATCTGTAGTGGGTGTTCTTGGCAGTTTTTATGAGGCTTTTTTTTTTTTTTTTAAAGGGGTCATATGATGCGATTTCAAGTTTTCCTTTCTCTTTGGAGTGTTACAAGCTGATTGTGCATAGATAAGATCCCTGAAGTTGGAAAGACTAAAGTCTCAAAACCAAAGAGATATTCTTTATCAAAGTTAAGACTCTGCCACGCCCCCCTAAAACGGCTCGTTCCAACACGCCCCCACATATCTACCTCACTATGTGGAAATATTTGCATAATGCCGCCCACATGTTAACGCAAAGAAAGAAGGCGTGGTTTCAGTAACCGCAGTTAGTGTTGAAGCAGCCATGTCAGGGAGACGCTGTGTGTTTATTTGGACTTTATTTGGCCTTCCGAAAGTAGATGCATTTAGGAATCTTTAAGATTACTTACAACAGAACAGCAATGCATTTTATGGACGACCGTTTCGTGAACCTCGGAGAAGAGGTAATTCTGACTTTGCTATGACAATCTGGCGCTTCTGAATCAGCTAATGTTTTGTTATTAGTTTAAGTATTTGCTATTGACTGTTCAAATGCGAAGTTTTGCGCCTCGTGTGTGTGTGTGTGTGTGTGTGTGTGTGTGAGAGAGCAAGAGAGCGAGAGAGTGCGCGCGCGTCACATCAAAGTGGAGTCAGCTGTAATAACCGTGACTTGTGTACTGCAAACACATACCAGTTTCATCACTGTGTCTGTCACGCAACTCTGTTCACCTTTCGGGCTCTGTCTTTACATTTATTTTGAAAGATGAAGCTCGCGAATATGGTAAGGGGCGTTACATTTCCGAAAAGTGCTTGCGGTGTTCGGCCAATCACAATGCACTGGGTCAGCTGGCCAATCAATGCAGACTGCGCTTGTCGGAAGGAGGGACTTTGTAGAAAATGAAGCGTTTGAGAGAGGCGGGGCATAGAGAACCTACAATAATGTACAGTATTTGAAAAATAATGTTTTTTGAACATTAAAGCATGTCAACATATTCTGTTACACCAAATACACCAAATAATGATCTTTAAAAAAGCATCATATGACCCTTTTAAATAGTGTTCATATCGATATCGGAATTATATCGTACCGGATGAAATTAAGTAATATATCGTGATATAAATTTTGGCCATATTGTCCAGCCCTATGTTAGTGAAATATGTTTGTGGTTGATGTGATGAACTACATAAAAAAAATCACTTTGAGATCAGTTGGTTAAAAGTATTGACAAAAATGTCTAAAAAAAGTGGAAAATGGTCTACCTGCGGGAATAACTATAATGCGCAATACAAGCACTATTTAACCAGAGCGAATGAGACGTGTGTGAGAGAGAAGGGGTCGTCGGAGAGATGAGAGTGAGTGTATTTGCAGGATCTTACATGTTGTTGGTTTATTAAGCATTATCCATTTAAAATTGTGAATGTGATCATATTCGTTTATCAATATGAAGCAGTGCAGTTGTAAAATAAAATCTGCAAAAGCCTCTTAATTAAAATACAAATATTACTGAATTGTGTTTATAAAATTGTATTTTAGTTCAGCTTTCTGTCTGGCCACATAGGGTATCATTCCAAACTATCAAAAGACTATGTAGAGTTTGGATTTTAGTGACTAGCCTTTCTATGTCCTTAGTTGGATCATTCAAAGTCGTTTTTGTGGTGGTAGTGATCCATGATTGCAAAGTCGTTCTGTGTTAATAATTAAATTAAAAGTTAAGACTGTCTCAGAAGTGTGGATAATTTGTCTTTTGGTCGTAACACCCCCTCTCTTGTTTTTATCTCCTCAGTTTGAAGGTGAGAGGGCTGGGCATTTGGGAAGGGACGACATTGCTTCAACCCAACAAGGATATTTTTACAACCTCTGCTTTCCCCCCCTTCCCCTCCATTCCACTTCTTTCTTCCTACCTGACATCTGCACAGTTCTCCAGTACCTACCTATACCTGCGAGTGAGAACATCCTGTCCCACTCAAGCCCCCCTTGTTCCCCAAATCACCAATGGATCAGAGGACACAGGGGGGGCCCTCTACACCGCCCCCGCTCCCTGTCAATGTCCCTCCAGCAGAACGCGAAAACGAGGGAGTAGGAGGAAAGAAGGACGATGAAGAGGAAAAGAAAAAACAAGAGAAACCAAGAGATGGGGTACAAAGTGAAACTTGTGCTGCTGAAAGTGGGACGAGTGACCAGCAACAGCAGCAATCTGCACAGTTCTCGGTCAAAGAAACCAGTTACTCTGAGGGAAATGTCAAACTCAAGATAGGCCTACAGGCCAAGCGCATGAAGAAGCCTCCTAAGATACTGGAGAACTATGTCTGTCGTCCAGCCTTCCGAGCCACTGTAAGGCATAGTGGAGGACGAGGCGGAGGACGTGTTAATCGTGGGGCCGGAGCCAGTGATGGGAGCAACCACACTTCTAGCCCAAGTCGTGGAAAAGGAGAGAAAAGCCCCTCTGTCAGCCGAGGAGCATCTCTATCATCTAGTGCTCCTGCTGCTGCATCTCCCTCACCTTCTCTCCCTCCTCCCGTTTCCACCAGCCCAGTAACTCCTGTGAATGGAAGTGCTCCAGCAAAAAAGGTACGGTTTAACTTCTCACGCAGCATTTCTTAAATTAGACATTATACATAAAGTATAATGACATAACAAGGAAACCAACAGTGACATGATTGAAAGGGCAGGACAAACTCAAATATCCTTCCCACTCCACTTTCCTTTCACTAAGCTAATGTGGTTACATCAGATAAACAAGATTTGCAAATCTTGCCACGTTTTCTTTCTCACTCTCCTCTCTCTTGATAACGTAAACACTTAAACACTCTTTTTCTTGAATTTGTTTTCTTTTCCACATTTCTCTGTTGTAAATATGCTTTTCTTTTCTGATACAGAGTACTCTGTTGTTCAGTTTTTTTTTTTGTTTCTCCATTGTTCTTTGCCTTAATTCTGTGTCATAATGTCTTGTAACCCTGTTTCTCATTACTCTCCCCTCCTCTATTTCACACACATCTTCCCTTTCTCCTTACATCTCTCTCTAAAATCCTTCTGCTGTTTTATTGATTTGAAGGGAATAAAAACAAATAATGGTCCAAAATTCAATCAATAAAGAGGAATTGTAGTGGCATACACATATTGTCAAACATAAAATTAGATTATTTTGGTAATAACTAGGAAAAAACCAGCACAGTTAATAATGCATCATTATTTCTTTGTGTTCCATGATTTTTTATATTACACTGAATTAAATATATGTAAAATAATTTTAATTGTTTTCTTCTTTATATGCGTATAGGCTCCTCAAAAACTTGCCTGTAAGTCAGAGGGAAAGGCTGATGTAAAATCCGTTGCTTCTTCAGAGAGACCCCTTAATCTTCATCGCCCCATGACGGAAAGCAAATCACCCTCCTCTGGAAAGAAAAACCAGCTTCCACAAACCAACTCTGCTTCTACCCTATCGCCACCGACAATGCCCCCAGCTACCACATTGCAACAGGACCCCAAAACAGATGGGATCGTAAAAACTCAATACAATTTTACTGAGGGGCAGAAGGAACAAGACCGGGGAATTTCTGCCTGGGGTACTCCTACAGTAACTGAGAAGCTTGCTCAGCTCATAGCTACATGTCCGCCGTCAAAGTGCCCTAAGCCAAAAGCCCGAAAGGTGTCACCAGCTCCAGCACACAGTAGCTCGCCTAATTTGAAGGGAATAAAAACAAATAATGGTCCAAAATTCAATCAATAAAGAGGAATTGTAGTGGCATACACATATTGTCAAACATAAAATTAGATTATTTTGGTAATAACTAGGAAAAAACCAGCACAGTTAATAATGCATTATTTCTTTGTGTTCCATGATTTTTTATATTACACTGAATTAAATATATGTAAAATAATTTTAATTGTTTTCTTCTTTATATGCGTATAGGCTCCTCAAAAACTTGCCTGTAAGTCAGAGGGAAAGGCTGATGTAAAATCCGTTGCTTCTTCAGAGAGACCCCTTAATCTTCATCGCCCCATGACGGAAAGCAAATCACCCTCCTCTGGAAAGAAAAACCAGCTTCCACAAACCAACTCTGCTTCTACCCTATCGCCACCGACAATGCCCCCAGCTACCACATTGCAACAGGACCCCAAAACAGATGGGATCGTAAAAACTCAATACAATTTTACTGAGGGGCAGAAGGAACAAGACCGGGGAATTTCTGCCTGGGGTACTCCTACAGTAACTGAGAAGCTTGCTCAGCTCATAGCTACATGTCCGCCGTCAAAGTGCCCTAAGCCAAAAGCCCGAAAGGTGTCACCAGCTCCAGCACACAGTAGCTCGCCTCCCTTAATTTCTAATCTGCAGCGCCCTGAACGGGCTATGGCCAATAGGAACACCTATTCCAGGGCGGTGCACCTTGCCCCACCACCGGTTTCACGGCCCCCAGGTCGCCCATATGGGTCCAAAAATAAAGACAGTATTCTGGAGAAATTTTCTGGCACCTCTAGAAAAGAGGAATCAGATGGACTTTCAAAAGGGATCACCAGTAGCAACAGCAGCACAACCACCACCACCACTAGTTCTGCACTGTCTCAAAACAGTAGTCACTTGACGACATCCACAAATGATAGCACTGACAACAGTACCACCAATGGAATGGAATCTCAATCTCATCTTGGGCATTGCCCATCTCATTCTTCCTTCACGGCTTCTCTTTTATCACCACCACCATCTTCCTCTTCTTCATCCTCCTCCTTAGAAAGAATAGGAAGTACAGGCTGTCACATGTGTTTGCCAGGCTCACTAGCCTCACGGCCTAGAGCAAGCCCCTCCCAAATAGAGGAGTTTACTGAGAAAGACAAAGAGCGTGGCACAGATAGACCCAGAGATTTAAGTAAATGCTCTACTTCAGCTATGCCAGAGAAGCAAGATACTAAAGAAAGGTGTTCTTTGTCAGCTCCTCGAAGTGAGAGGGGTAAGAGCTCTAGTCCCAATCAGGAAAGTCGTGGTAGTGGGGTACCAAGTCCTGCTGAGTCCACCAAATGCACTATTTCACCTTCATACCCTTCTGGTGCCAGCAGGAGCCCACCACAACTATGTGATGACACTGGGGCTCTATCTCCTGCATCACCAGCTGAGCAGGATTCAAAGCCTCTTAAGAAGCGGCGAGGACGACGGCCTCGCTGGACGAAGGCAGTGAGTCGCACCCACAAGACTTCACATGAGGCTGCTTCTAACCATCAGAAACCAATGCCATCAGGGCTTTCATCTTCAGTTCTCTTGGAACGTCCCTCACCTACACCCTCCCCACTTGGAGCGAGGGCATCACCTGATACAAGAAGACCACACCCAGCTGTCCCATCTCCTGCTTTGGTTGGACATAAAGAGAAGCACAAGCATAAGTGCAAACGCCGTGGACATGGCTGTCCTAGCTATGACAAACTAAAAAGGCAAAAGCGAAAACGCAAGAAGAAGTACCTGCAGCTGCGGTCACGTCGACAAGACCCAGACTTCTTGGCTGATTTGGATGAGATCTGTGTGCAGCTCAGCGATATACGAATTGGTCATCGCACACCAACACTTCGTTTGGGTAGCAGTTTGGGTCTGGGTGCTGGGGCAGCAGGCCCGGGCCGTGGGTCTGCCTTGGGAAGTGCCAGAGCCAGCAGCAGCCTTGGAGGTGGAACCAATCCACCACCCCATCACTATATACACCGAGATCTCTTGCCCACCATCTTCAGGATCAATTTTAGTGGATATTATTCACCCCACCCAGCCTACCCATGTGATTCACTTCATTATGTCCGTAAGCCAGATCTTAAAAAGAAAAGAGGGCGACCACCTAAGCTCAGAGAATCTATATCAGAAGTACCTTTTGTACCTGGGTTAGGCTTTCCCCTCTCCAGTGGAGGTTTCTATCACCCCTCTTATGGTGTTCCATATTCTTCTACCCCACTGGGACTTGGCTACTATCGTGGTTATACTCCAGCAAGTGCCCTGTACCCCCACCCCCATCACCAGGCTCCTCACTCTGGCCCATCCCACCATGTTCATTCTCCTTCTTTTCCTCCACCTCCGCCCCCTTCTTATGTCCATCACCATCACCCCTCCCACTTGCTTCTTAACTCTTCCAAATTTCACAAGAAGAAACATAAGCTGCTTAGGCAGGAGTATCTAGGTGGTGGTCGTTCATCAGTACTCTATCCTGCAATGTCGTCCGAGCTGTCATTTGGCTGGCACCACAAACACAAGCATAGGCACAAGCACCGTGATCGCGGTGGAGAAGAGGAGGGTGATGATGTTGGTGAAGTTGTAGGTAACATTGGAGGCAGAAGTGGAGGAGGTGAGGGGTTGGGGGTAGGAAGAGGGGAGCGAGGGAGTGTAGAGTCCCTGCAGCGTTGCCGGTTCGGGCGAGATGGTTCTGGTGACTCCAGTGCTAACAAACAGGCAGCTTCTGCCAACTCACCTTCCTCTTCCTCCTCATCTTCTGCAGAACGGTACAAGCGAAAAGAAGCTTCTATGTCTTGTCTTGGACCTTCGCGACTGTCTTTGGGCAGCGTGAGCCGGGGACATCATCCAGTTGACTCCTGGTTCAGGATGGGAAGTTCTGATACTGATTACTCCAAACTCTCTAAAAACCAGTCCCTTTCTGGGTCTGGTGCATTCTCTGAAGGACATGTGCAAAATACAGTGGAGTGCTCGGAGAGTGATGAAGAAGATCCTGCTTCCCCCATTGAGGAGGCAGAGACCAGCCACCACACTAACTTGTTCACATCTGCACTATCTCGAACCTCCCTCAAAGGGAGTCGTAGCAAAAAAGGTAGAACATCAGAGAGCACCAGTCTGTCACGGTTGGATCAGACAGTGAGAAGAGATCGTTCCAAATCTGCAGAGAGAAGAGATATGGGTAAGTGAGAAATCTTACAAACAAATGCTGATATTGTAACGCCTATTGGACTTTCAATACTTTTGTGCTATGATTATGGTTTACATTACAACCATGCTCAGTTCAGGAAGGTCCTTGCAGGGCTCGACAGTGCGACCATTTCAGTCGCATTTACGACTGAAAACTACTGCGTGCGACTATGAAATTTATTTTAGGAGCACCAGTGCGACTGACCCGATCATCATCATACTTGTGATTGCGCTCAGGGAAGCTTCAAAGCTTTCTACGTGTTTTTGCAGCGTCGAGTAATGTATCAGACATATCTCACCAATCCTTCATAAGCAAAGTGTAGACAGGGTGTAAATAAGAGATTCATCACACAGTGTAGAGAGCTTCGTTGATTATAAATGTGAGCTCGCGATGAACTAAGATGATGAGTGACAGCTTTGAATGATTTTTAAGGGAGTTTGTAAATGTGATAACTGATTTAATACAATACAATTCAATAAACAAGAAGTTAATTTTAAGTTACTTACATTGTCTGACTATAACACTATTGTCTGATTTTGCTCTATTTCGTTGTATTTCGAAATATTTCGAAAATAGTTTAAAAACAAAGTCACAGCTCAGCCGCTGCGCATCTCCATTCAAACACAGCGGTGTTTCGTTTATGAACGAACAGTTTTTTTAAACGAATCTAGTGAGTAAGTGATTCATGATTACCCATTCATAAAGACAGTCACTCTTGAATGAATAAGCCGTTCGAATGAATCAATTGAATGAATGATTCAGTGATAAAAATCAGTGACTTGCCGCCACCTGCTGGCAGTTTTAGTTTCATTTTTAAAGTATCTTTTCAGTTATTTAAATCATTTAATATTTCTATATTCAAAATTTTATATTTAAAACATTAATATCATCATGGATTTATGGAAGACGGAATAGTGCGGGGAAAAACAATGAAAGAGAAAGATGTGGAAGGATGGGTTTGACTGATGGAAAGATAAGATGAATAGAACATAATAGACTAGACTGTATTGAAAAGTGAATTAGACTGAGAGTAAGTTAAAGGAATAATGGAGGATAGAGGGAACATAGTTAATGAGGCCTTGCACACATGAATACATGTAGCTGCTTTATTGTTGAATCTGTGAGACAGTTATTTTCAGCTGCATCAGAATTTGGCTTTTAGGAGATGAGTACTTTTTCTACACCATCTATAATCCAATGTATCTCCTCAACTCCTCATTGTTATTTACCTGCTAATAAATGTGCTTTATAGAAAGATGATCTAACCATGAATTTCAGAATTTAGCTTAGTCAGTGGCAGGCTGCTGTTATTTGCATTGAATGCTGCTCAGTGCCCAAAAAGGCCACTCTCTAATACTTGCTGCAAACAGTCCTTTGGTATACACTGGTTTTTATTTTATTTTAGCAATTGTTTTTAGAATAATTGTCTCTGTTGACTAAGTTTTTGCATTTTGGTAATTTTGACTGCTTGATTTCTTGACACATGGGGGACATTGGGTGATGGCGCGAATTCTGTTAATTGTTATTTTAAAGGCTTAGTTCACCCAAAAATGAAAATTAACCCATAAATTACTCACCCTCAAGGCATCCTAGGTGTATATGACTTTCTTCTTTCAGACGAATCCAGTCGGAGTTATATTAAAAATTGTCTTTGATCTTCAAGCTTTTTAATGGCACTCAGCGGGTGTTGCAGTGCTTCAGTCTAGGCCTGTCGCGATAATTAAATAACTGTCTAATCGCGATTATTTGATCTAATTGATTCTTGTGCTTTTTATACGAGACAAGGTGGAATCATAAACCAAAAATTTATTTTTAATCAAAAAATTTTTTTTATTTTTTGTGCTACAACATGGGATTATTCAATGCATGCTGATGAACTTTTATCATAGTTTATAGTTAGATGGAAATGAAAGTGGTTAACATTCAACCCGTTCTTTATCATCAGTAGTATTTGAATTTTGTGAATGGGAGTTTCTCTTTTGCTGTGTTAAGCCGCGGGCTTTGGATGCTTTCACTTTCAAATTCGCGATCTTGTTGTCACTGTTTTGCTTACATCTACACACCTTTAATTTTTAAAACCTTCGCGCTCATGCTGATGCGGCGAGTATACTCTCTAAGCGCTGTTTCATTATGCTTTCAGTTTTGTTTGCCATTTGATGTTTCTCATATGCAACAGAAATTGCAGCGCTTATGAGTTGACCAACGCGGTGGTCGCTCCAGTGCGACTGCACACAAAATTTAGTCGCACAGACAGAAAAAATGGTGGCAGTCTGGAGCCCTGCTATATCATCTGAAGCCATTCCATAAATGTGAAAGACAGAATTTATAAACTCATCTTCCTTCTGCTGCAGCTGTCAGTCATTCTCCGCTCAGCATTCAAACAACACGTCACGTTCAGTTATGACAGTCAGCATGGTAAAAAGCCATCCAAGATGATAAATTCCCATTATAATACTTTAAGTTTAAGGAAGGAATGAATTATCACAAACAGAAAGATTATTAGAAGCCTTTTTTTCTCATGATTTCTATCTTATATTCATGAATGTATTTTGTAAGAATACAAAGTTAACACTAAATATGATTAAATTGTATAATGTGCACCAAAGATTTTTTTTCAAGATATTGTTTTTGCTGCTAAATTATACAGTCAGCTAGTTTAATTTCATAGCTTATATATTTTTATTCAAATGTAGTTTTTCTCTGTAATGAGGAAGTGAGTATTTAGTGAATTGCGTTTAACAAATGGTTTAAAAGAGTGACCATTATTTCCACAAACACAGTATTGATATTCTGTAGTGGTGTTCGAAAAAAAATAGCACTGGTGTTGGATCAGTATTGGGCGATTCTTAGAATTTGGAATACTCTATGTAATCTTACACTGCAAAATAATAACTCAAAAAGATTAAATGATAACAATTATTTACTGATCCCTTAAATTAATCACAATTATATAATGAAAGCCATAAAAACAGACAATTAATTGTGATAATCAGCATAATCGTCATAATCGCCAAAGCCCTAAAACAGACAATTAAATCGCAATAACCGTGACTATTTTTAGACAATTAATTGTCAGCCAAATTTCATAATCGTGACAGCCCTACTTCAGTCCAAAAGAAGTGAAATAAAAAGCGCCTCCATTAAAAAAAAAAGTGTCTCACACGGCTCTGGGGGGTGAACAAAGGCCTCCTGTAGCGAATCGATGCGTTTTTGTAAGAAAAATAACCATATTTAAAACGTAATAATCAATTTAATCTAGCTTGTGCTCACTGTTGTAAACAAAAGCAGTTCCGGGCGGATGACGTATAGGTTCGGCGTTGCACATGCGCCGCTCAGAAGTGACATACACGGAAGCGCAGCTTCGTCAAAACAAAACAATGGTCACTAATTAGAAGTACAAAATGAGGATTCGTAAAGATGAATGTCAGAGGATTTCGATATAAGCCAAGAGGAGACTGGTTTTCCTTTGCTAAAGTAAAGAAACTTTGCTTCCTTTGCTCCTGTTAACAAACGTTGGTTTTCACGAGACTCACCGGCGCATGTGCAACGCCGACCTCATACGTCATCCTCCCGGAGCTGCTTCTGTGAACAACTGTTGGCGCAAGTTAGATTAAATGGATTATTATGTTTTAAATATGGTTATTTTTCTTACAAAAACGCATCGATTCGCTCCAGGAGGCCTTTGTTCACCCCCCGGAGCCATGTGAGACACTTTTTTTTTTAATGGAGGGGCACTTTTTGTTTAACTTCTTTTGGACTGAAGCACTGCAACATCCACTGAGTGCCATTAAACAGCTTGAAAGATCAAAGACAATTTTTAATATAACTCTGACTGGATTCGTCAGAAAGAAGAAAGTCATATACACCTAGGATGCCTTGAGGGTGATTAATTTATTGCCTAATTTTCATTTTTGGGTGAACTAACCCTTTAATTTGTTTAATTTTTGTGAATACATTTTCAGCCACTCAACCTACCTTTTGTTTTAATATCACAGGAAATGTGTCCGGCACGCAGAACCGAGTTGGCCAATCCATTGTTCCTGAGGTTTCTGAGGGTCCCCATCATCGGCACCACCATCACCACCACCCTCCTCTGTCCCTCTCACACTCTGCCTCTTGCCTTTCTCACTGCACTCTTGACCAGCCTGGAAGCACCGCAGCTCTCCGGCCCTCCAGCCGCCAGGCTAGTCCCTCCACATACTCCTCCCAGCCTGCATGCTGCCGTGACTCCCCCCCTTCACATCACTCCCATCGGCCCCCTCCCAAAAATAACCTGCACCATGTCAACAAGATCCTCCGTGCAAAGAAGCTCCAGAGGCAAGCACGCACAGGAAACAACATGGTGAAAAAACGAGGTCCAGGCCGTCCCCGCAAGCACCCGCTGCCCTCGCCTCCCCCATCGCCCCCACCACAGACATCTGAACAGGAGAACCTTCCTTTACCTGAAAGGCACAGAGGAAGTGTTCTGTGGGAGGAAGACACCGTGGTTGACGTCATTGAGTCTGTAATACAGAGTCAGCACAGAAAGGGACGCAAGAGAAAACGCTGGGAAAGGGAGACAGAAGGAGGTGATGAGGAAGACGAGGAACCAGAGGAGGAAAGAGAGGTGGAGGAAGAAGAAGAACGACCAGCTGCTAGAGAGGAGGATGTGATGGCGAGAGCAAGAATAGAAGGAGGGAGGGGATGGTTGACGCAGGAGGACATGCAATGTTTTCGCAGGTATGCGCTACAAAATACGCAACTGTTCAAAATTTTCAGTAAGATTTTACATTTTTTGGAAGAAATTAATACTTTTATTCATCAAGTATGCATTAAATTGATCAAAAGTGAAAGACATTTATGTTACAAAAAAATTTCAAATAAATAATTTTCTTTAATAGTTCTAGAATAATTTTCTATTCATCAAAGAATATTAAAAAAAGTATCATGGTTTAAACAAAAAATATTAACTCTTTCCCCGCCAAACAGAATTTTCCGGGTATCCGTGCTTTAGGTGGTATACGGTAAGGAAGGCCCTTGCGCATGTTCTGAAAGAGTGCGGGACTTTTGGATCACAGAAACAAGCGTAGACAGCGATCTGCACAAACTGGAAGGAGTAGCAAGAATGTAGGTCAAAATATCAGATAGAAAAACACAGAGGTATACCGCTTATGTGTTAATGGACTCTGAGTCCGATCACTCATTATTTGATCATTCTGAATCTGATCGGGACGAAGTAGTCAATGAGGGAGATGCACATGCTGTCACAGAAAGTTCTAGTCACAGACGTGCTGCAGATAGATCTCTAACCCGTCATTCTGGACAAAGACAATGTTCACCTGTGTGTCTAAGAGTGGACCGTGACAATTCAGACTGTGACACTTCGGACAGTGAGTGGATGCGTTCAAGCCCAAGGTCTCATTCCCAGGTGCCAGAGCAGATAGAGGTAAGACAATATAAGAAAATGGCTGAGAATCCGTTCTATCTTTGTGCACATTTACCACACTGTTGGATAATACTAAAACATATACTGTGTATATATATATATATATATATATATATATATATATATATATATACAGTATCTCACAGAAGTGAGTACACCCCTCACATTTTTGTAAATATTTTATTATATATTTTCATGTGACAACACTGAAGAAATGACACTTTGCTACAATGTAAAGTAGTGAGTGTACAGCTTGTATAACAGTGTAAATTTGCTGTCCCCTCAAAATAACTCAACACACAGCCATTAATGTCTAAACCGCTGGCCACAAAAGTGAGTACACCCCTAAGTGAAAATGTCCAAATTGGGCCCAATTAGCCATTTTCTCTCCCCGGTGTCATGTGACTCATTAGTGTTACACTTGTCTCAGGTGTGAATAGGGAGCAGGTTAAATTTGGTGTTATCGCTCTCACTCTCTCATAATGTTCACTGGAAGTTCCACATGGCACCTCATGGCAAAGAACTCTCTGAGGATCTGAAAAAAAATTGTTGCTCTACATAAAGATGGCGTAGGCTATAAGAAGATTGCCAAGACCCTGAAACTGAGCTGCAGCA